TCTGTCTCTCTCTCTGTCTCTCTCTCTCTCTCTCTCTCTCTCGCTCTCTCTCTCTCTCTCTCTCTCTCGCTCTCTCTCTCTCTCTCTCTCTCTCGCTCTCTCTCTCTCTCTCTCTCTCTCTCTCTCTCCTTCCCTCCCTCCCTGATGTGTGTGCATGGGTACTTATGAGAGTAAGCGTGTGGTTTGTACATACATGTATGTGCTGCTTTCCCATGCATGCTCAGAGGACAAAGGAGGATGTGATGTGTCCTTTTCTATGATTCTCCTCCTTATTACTCTAAGACAGGATTTCCCAGTGAACCTGGAGCTATTCTAGAATCCGGCAAGCCCTGGTGATCCTTCTGGCTTGTCCCCCACAGCACTGGGCTTAAAGGAACACACAGGCCACACTCAGCTTTTTACATAGATGCTTGGGATTTGAACTCAGGCCCTCACACTTGTACAGCAAGGGCTCTTACCCACTGACCCATCTGCCCAATCCCCAGTACCTACCATTCCCTTGCTTACTGTACAGAAACCTCTCAGGCTCAATGTCTCCTTCTCCTTTACCTTCTTCTCTTGGCAAATACTATATTCATTTTTCATACAACAAGCAGAAGAAAGAATCACAAGTGACAAGGGATCTATGGGAATTAAGCAAAGAGCACAAATGAACTGTAGGGTCCCAAGAAAATGTTAATAATGCAACTTCAACAACAAGGAATGTGAACTCCCAATACTGATAATCGCTTGGCAGATGGGACAGATGTGACCGTTCTAGTTGCCATGGTGATAGTGTTGAAAGATCATCACTAGAGCTGGGATCACCTCTGTTCTGATGTGTGTTCCTTGTCACTTGAGAGGCCTTTGTGTAGAATTCATACGAAGCAATCATTATCATGTTGATAATAATTACATAAAAATACCAGTGATAAGTACACAGGAAAGCACGGAAAGACACGAGTGGATTATCCTTAATTTTAATTGCATAGCACTGTCAAGGGAATATAGTTGTGAAAAATACTAGTGCTTATGAAATGGCATACATTAAACTTCAACATTTAAATGGCATTCACTCAACAGCTTTTTGTACTAAAACCGGCATTTCTTCCCTGAATCTACTTGTATTTCCTATCTTCTCAACTCCCTGCCCTTTTCCTATCTCATTCTAATATTGTTAGCACTGACTCCTTACAGTCAGAGAGGCTTCTGGGTATATGAAAGTCAAATTATAACTGCTTCCTGTTTTAGAACTCTCTTCAAAAACGTATCGAGCAATAATTCCCATGTGAAATGCTGGTGCCTTGGATAAGAGCTCAGAGACACACACAGTCACACATGTGGTCTTGAACGTTCCACAGCCACATCTGTGAAGGTAAACTTTTTCAATGAAGTGAATTCTAATATAAAATGTATTTAACACGATGAATATAAAATACATTACATCAGGTAATTGATGTTCAAAAGGTGTCCGTCAAATATTTTAAAGGCATTTTTCATAAGTATTGAAAATCTGATGTAATGTCCGTTTTACTCTTCCACCACCTGCCCAGTTGGAGTAGCCACCTTTGAAGACTCTTGAGTGGCTAGTGGCTCCCACACTGAACAGCTCTGACTTGGTCATTAGATGACAGCATTTGTCAAGCAGAGGAGACACATTCTTTATTTGTAAAATATACTTTTGGTTCTTGTGACAAAACAAACATCATCTTTCAGGCTCACTGATGAAGTGCTTGCCTACCAAAGACAAGCTGAGTTCCACCCCAGGACTGCAAAAAGTGAAATAAAGTAAATAGAGCCAATCATTTTTATCCTAAGTCTTCACTGTTGTTTGTTTTTGTTTGTTTGTTTTTGCCTCTAGTCAAACCGATGATTGTCCAAAATGCTTTATTTTTATTTTTGTTTGTTTGTTTGTTTGTTTTCAAGATGGGGTCTCTCTCTGCAGCCTTGGCTGGCCTAGAACTCTCTCGGTGTAGACCAGGCTAACCTTGATTTGCAGATATCCACTTGTCTCTGCCTCCTGAGAGCTGGGATTAAAAGTGTGCACCACCACCACCTGGCTGAAATGCTTTTTTTTTTTTTTTTTTAAGCTGTCTTAAAGACCTCTTCTATTTTATCCCATAGTAAATGGATTAATTCTGCTTATTGTTAAATGTCTTAAGAAAACCCGAAACAGTGGCAGAGGGGATGCCTTTTAATGGTAAAATGGTTCTGAGAACAAAGACCAATGACTTCTCAAGATAACCAATCATTGACACGTCATGATTTACCGAAAAAGTCACTGTATAACCAAATGAACAGAAACAGGTTTACCATGATAAATTGTGAACCCAGACACATGCTATATATACATATATTGTTTTTTCAAAACAGGGTTTCTCTGTATAACCCTGGCTGTCCTGGAACTCCCTGTGTAAAATGGAGAAAGGGAGCCAAGCACTAGCAATGCATCCATTCATCTCTCCCTGCTTTCTGTGATGGAACCAGCTACTTCAAGCTTTGCCACCTTGGCTACCCTGTCATAGTGGGCTTTACTCTTATGCTGTGAGCCAAAACTAACTCAACTCTTTGTCACTTATGTGACTTTTCTCAGAGTACTGTATTGCAGCAACAGGAAAAGAAGAGAAAAGTCGGTGCTTTTCCCTGTACGTTCTTACTTTGGGGGGACTGGACTGGATACTGTGATGATGGGTTATTATAAAGGAACTCTCTCTCTCTCTCTCTCTCTCTCTCTCTCTCTCTCTCTGTCTCTTTAGATCTCTGTGTGCCTCTATCTCTCTGTCTATCTGTCTCTCTGTCTTTCCATGCTTTTCTACATCTACCTGCTACCCCACCAGAGTCCCTCCCTAAAGCAGATACTGGCACCATGCTCTTCAGTTTCAGAACTGTAAACAAAATAAAGTCTTTATTAATTGTTCTGCCTCAGGTATTTTGTCATAGCAACACAAAAACAAGTATAAGAAACTCACGGGGCTGGAGAGATGGCTCAGGTGTTAAGAGCACTAATTGCTCTTCCAGAGGTCCTGAGTTCAATTCCCAGCAACCACATGGTGGCTCACAACCACCTTGAATGAGATCTGGTGCCCTCTGCTGGCATGCAGGCAGAAAACTGTATATATAATAAATAAATAAAGAAAGAAATAAAGAAAGAAAGAAAGAAAGAAAGAAAGAAAGAAAGAAAGAAAGAAAGAAAGAAACTCACATGGAAAACAGAAGAGAATAAGGTAGTTAAGCCAAATGCCTGCACTGACATCCTAGCTTGAACTCTTATGAGCCATATGTTGTTAGGATAGTCACTTAAATCTTCTAAGACTCCTTCTCTGTAAATTGCAGACAGTAGTAGTTCTTATTCAAAGTATTATGAGGAATAAATGAGCTATTACTTACAAATGCCAGGAATGGCCCTGGCCCCTACCTAGTAGCAATATATTATTATTAAAATAATAAGATTTTATTAAATATTCAGTGGAGGATGTCAGGAATTTATCATTGTCTGCCAAAAAACCTTATCATTCTGAATTTTATTGTTAAACAAACATGAGATGTGATTTTTCACTAGCTCTCTATACACTCTCAAGAGCGGGTTTCAATCTTATCCCACATCTTAAAGTGACAGCCATTATTAAAATGATGGAGTTTCTCCTGGAGGAGCAGCAGGGACACCAGAGATCTCATTAAAACTGTTGTTGTGATTGAGGATGTTTCTGAGCAAGCAGAACATTGCCTTAAAAAAGAGTAAGTGGATTCCAGCAGGAAGTCAACTGCTAGCAGAAACTTCAAATAAAGTTCATTAAAGTGTGAAGACAGTCTACAGAGGAGTTGCACCGAGTCATCTCCACTTTAATGAGAGGGAAGATGTAGGGAGAATCAAAACCACGGTTGACTGTATAAAGATTTGCTATCTTGCTAATGATAAAAAGGGAAGTATTTCAAACAGACTAAGAATGAAGGCTGGTGGTAGGGATCTGCTTTTTACTTCCTTTAGTGTTTTGATACATCTCAACTTCTTTCTTATAATTACACAAGTGAGTTGTCACCCCCAGGCATAAATTCCATTAGTCTTGAGGCTGAAGAAATCAAAGAGGCTGCTGTGACCAGCTGGTCTTCTGAAACAATGACTTCAAGCAGGGCCTGGCCATCCTATAAGGTCAGCAGGGAAATGGGCTTTCCAGGATGGAAAACAGTCATTGTGTCGCCTACTAGCCGGCAGGAGAACCACCAAAGGCCCTTCTTCCCGGTCACGTGGGCTCATCCTTTCTGCCTCCTACACAGATCTCTCCCTGGCCTCTTGAGGTTCAGGTCAGGGAGGTAAAGGCCACTTTACCATCTTCCCCACTGGAATGACACTTGTGTTAAGTACATACAATGTTGCTAGGTGGTTTGGGTCTGAACCTTGAGATTGTGGCATGTTGGGGTTCCAGTGAGAAACTGTATCCTTTCTCCTTTGTTTGACTGTCTTTGCCTCCATTTGTAGTAGATCTAGAAGAATAAGATGCAGGCTGGACAGCTGGCTCAGGGCTCATGAAAAGGCAGACACATGTTGGGGGGGGAGTAAATTTCAGAAGTATGGATAAATGCATATGAAAATTAACATATGATAAAGATGGTTTTGAAGTGTAAAATGAAAAAAAAAATTAAAAAAGGGGAGTTTAAGCCCCAGGTGATGGAATCCTATTTAAAAGGAATGAGCCTGGACCTTTACCAAAAATAGCTCTAAGAGGAATCATATGTTTCTATTGTTTAAAAAAAGTATATATTTATATTTTCAAATAAAATTAGGTATAGAAAACAAAACAAAGAATATTAAGGAAATCAAGTGATTGAGAGTTTTGAGCCAGATGTGGAAAAATGGGAAGTGGGAAAGGCCTTGGAAGGTGACACAAAGAAAGATGGAGAGACAAAGCATCAGAAGCTTTTATGAGGTTAAGTGGTGTTTGGTGCAAGAGCTAACAGTGGAGGAGTGGAGGGCTTACTCACTAATTAAGTTAATTAATCTTAGCCTTCTTTTTTCTTTTTTTCTTTTGGTTTTTTGAGACAGGGTTTCTCTATTTAACAGCTCTGACTGTCCTAGAACTCTCTCTGTAAATCAGGCTGGCCTTGAACTCACAGATATCTGCCTGTCTCTGCCTCCCAAGTGCTAGGATTAAAGGTGTGCACCAACACCGCTTATGCACCAACACCGCTTAGTTTTGCCTTTTTTTTTTTTTTTTTTTTTTTTATGACTGTCTCAGTTTGTAGTCTTGCTGAGCCTAGAACTCACTGTGTAGACCAGGCTGGACTTGAACTCACATAAATTGGCCTGCCTCTGCCTTTCTGAGTGCTTTGATTAAAGTTGTGCAAAATCATACCTGATTATTTTAGACTTTGACTTCTATAATGGATTGTAAACAGAGGTGGAACTTTTCTTTGTGCCCTGCTTGCCTGATCCCAATTAATCACACAAAAACTTATATTAATTACAACATGCTTGGCCTGTAGTTCAGGCTTATTACTAACTAGCTCTTACAACTTAAATTAACCCATTTCTATTAATGTACATTTCGCACATGGCTTTGTGGCTTTACTTGTTCTTTAACATCTTGCCTCAATGGCAGCTGATTGCATCTCTCCCAGCTCCACCCTTCTCCTCTCTGTATTTTCAGTTTTTGCTTTCCTGCCTGGCCTTATTCTGCCCAGCTATAGGCCAAAGCAGCTTCTTTATTAGCCAATGAGAGCAATACATATTCACAGCATACAGAAGGATTATTCACAGCAATGATTACAAAGCATAATCCCGCATAGTCATTAGTATTGAATTCAAGCAAGAATGATATCTTGAGTAATCATCAACAGTGGCCACCAACAGTCTACAGGAAAAGTGCCAGAACTGAGGAGTATAAGGGACTGAGATCCAGCTACTGACATCCCCAGAGAGGCCAAAAGATTGTGGGGACTTGACAGCCAGCCCTAACCTTATTGCCTGCTCCATCCCAATTAGTGACACTTCCCCCAGAAAGCTCAGACCTGTGTAATAATTTACACATAACTCCCCTAAGATGGCTAAGGAACTATAATATGGTACCAGGTATCCGTTAAGGGCCATTGATCTTTGCCCTGGAATGCCTGTGAGAGCCTCGTGCTCTGCAGGTGAGATAAGGATAGGATAATGGTGTTCCTGCGTGAGATAGGGAACCTTTTGTTTTCTGCTTTTGTAAACTTGCTTATCATTGTGGGACTGGGACGAAATGGTCTTTTTCTTACTCTGCAATAGGAAAGAAGAAACAACTGAGAGGAGTAGAACAATTTTTTGCCCAGCCATGGATACAGTTATCCTTAGATGACTGTGATGTCCACCTTTGAGGTCCACCTTTATAAATCCTTCCCTTGGTCCCCTTCAGCACCGCCTGCTGTTGGGCTCTGGGGCTGCCTTCCTACTGCTAGCGGTAAGAATAAATCCATTTAATCTAAGTTTGAATTGAGCCTGAGTCTTTGATCTTTCCAGTGGATTGGAATGCCATGAGATGACACAGAGGAGGTAGCCCAGCCGTTCCCACAGCAGACTGGCTGGGACCAGAACAGAGATGAGGACCTGGGTTTGCAAAGGTGGGCTGGTTAGGGTGTCAGAGCGGGACTTCAACTGTAGATTTCAAGTTTCCAGATGTTGTGGTTTGAAAGTGAAAGGCCCCTGTAAGTGCATGTGTTTTAATATTTGGTGCTCAGATAGTACTGCTGTTTGGGAAGGCCATGAAAACCTGCAGAGGGGAAGCCTCACTGGGGAAAGTGAATCACAGGGGCTGGTCTTTGAGGTTTAATAGCCCACCCCTAGTTCCTGTCTGCTCTGTTTCCTGTTCCATAGTGTTGGTTAGATTTTTGTCAGCCTAACACAAATCAGGGTAAGCTAGGAAGAGGGAACCTCAATTGAGAAAATGCCCTGTAGGCAAGTCTGTTGCAAGCCTGTGGGGGCATTTTCTTGATTAATGATTGATATGGGAGGCCCTAGCACACTCTGGGCAGCTGGTCTTGGGAGGTTTGAGATGTCTGACCTTGAACCTGAGGGGCAAGCCAGTAAACAGCATTCCTCCATGGACTCTGCTCCAGTCCCTCTTACCTCCAGTTTCCTGCTTGATTGAGTTCCTGCTCTGACACCCCTCAATGATGAACTGTGACCTAGAAGCATAAGCCAAATAAGCCCTTTCTTCTCCCAGGTTGCTTTTGGTCATAGCATTTAACTGAAAGCAACAGAAACCTAACACATCCATCAAGATTCAAGGATATCAGGATCCTAACAGCTTACTGCCACCATGACTCTGCCATAATAGACTGTACCCTCGGCCTGTGAACCAAAATAAACCCTCCCATCCCTAATTTTGTCAGACATTTTATCTCAGTATGAAAAGTAATGGACACACCATCAGTTAGCATCTCTACTTACGGTATCAGTTTCATAAGTGTGAGTGACAGTTCAGTAAGACACCATAGGGAAAGAGCCCATGCACTGCTAGGTGGTATTATATTTAGTATAGTTCACCTTGCTGTATACTCCTGAAAGCAAAGGAAAAACACACATGTGAGTAATCGCATTCTCATTTTCAAGACAAGGTCATAGAAAACAGACCAAGGGACTTGAATTATATCACTATTCTGTGATTGGTGATCCTTCTGAAACTGGTTCCTTATCCTCCACTGGATTTAGCTGGCCATGGGCAATAAAGTTGCATTTATGGGGAAATAAAACACAACAACTCTCAAAATGCATACAGACAAAGGGAAATCTGTTTTTAGATTCACGAAGGCAACAGAAAACATGTCTTAACTAGAGTGCATAAAATAGGAGGGCTTGAGTAATGTCACAGAAAGATTACAGTTGCCAGAAGGTAGATTCAGTTGGTGTTTCATTGATCATTTTGACCATCTTGATAAGCTTGGGAACTTACCAGGGAAAGAGCAAGTTATGTGGATTTTAGTAACTGTAGGTGAAATTTAGTTACAGGTTCAAGCCATGTAGATAAATGGGTTGGTGGAACACAGGCTGTACAGAATACTCATTATGTATCCATTAATTAAGTGGATCATTATTACATTCATTTGTTAATTAAGTTTTTGAAGAATTGCAATTACAGCTTTTCATCTTCATCCGGCAGGCCAACTCGGGCCCTAGTGTACATGATACAGATGAGCGTCAGTGCCTGGCTTTGCTGTCACTAAGCTTTCAAACAGAAGGCTGTATTTCCTGGCTGTGCCCAGGGAGGGGTGGGGGCTTTTATTTTTATTTTTTCTTTTTCCTTAGATGGCTATCTTTTGAGTGAAAACAGAGTAGAGAACTGAGCAAAAGTTTATGATTTTAACTGTGAGGAAAGGCAATTTGGCTCCAAACTCTCTATACCACCCAAATCTTTTTGAAGGGAAGGGACATTGTTATTAAGAAAACTACCTCAATGCTATTCCAATTTTAGCCTTAGGAAATTGGCTTTGCTTATTTGTGTGTCTGTGAACTGTAACACATATACAGACCCATGCATTTACCACCACAACAAAGCAGTTCTGGCAGTCACAGAAAGCCACCTTTCTACTGCCCCCCCGGCCCCCGGCTCCTGCCTATGGCTTCCAACAGCCACTCATCTGTTCTCCATCTTTCATTTTTACTTTCAAGAAAGCTATATAAAAGGAATCATATAGCCGGTGGTGGTGGTGCACACCTTTAGTTCCAGCACTTGGGAGGCAGAGGCAGGCAGATCTCTGTGAGTTCGAGACCAGCCTGGTCTACAAGAGCTAGTTCCAGCAGAGAAACCCTGTCTCAAAAAACCAAAAAAAAAAAAAAAAAAAAAAAAGGAATCTAACCTTGTGAGACTGACTTCTTTCTTGAAAGCTTTTTAATGAGAATTTAATTAGGTCATTTCCCCTTCTCTTTCTTCCTTCTGACCCTGCACATGTGCCTGTATTTCTCCCTCCCAAATCCATGGCCTCTTTTTCCTTGTTATTGTTACCTTACATATGCATAAATATAGAAATTAAGCCTGCTCAGTTTGTTTAGTGTTACCTGTATTATATGATTTTGGGGCTGACCACTCAGCACTGAATAATCAATTATGGGGCACATCCCTGGAGAAGACTAGTTCTCCCACTCTCACACGAGACTTGCTTGAAAAAACTATATAGGGCAGGGCAGTGGTGGCGCAGGCCTTTACTCCTAGCACTCAGGAGGCAGAGACAGATGGATCTCTTCGAGTTCAAGGCCCACCTGGTCTACAGAGGGAATGCCAGGGCAGGCTCCATAGCTACACAAAGAAACCCTGTCTTAAAAAAAAAAAAGCCGGGCATTGGTGGCATATGCCTTTAATCCCAGCACTTGGGAGGCAGAGGCAGGCAGATCTCTGTGAGTTCGAGACCAGCCTGGACTACAGAGTGAGTTCCAGGACAGGCTCCAAAACAATACAGAGATACCCTGTCTCAAAATAAACAAACAAAATAATTATATAGGAATCATATTAATTTTATTTACCTAAGATTATATATAACACATATAAGTGTGTTATGTACACACACACACATACACAGTTTTAATGAAGTTATGTCACTTGGGTTGACAATGCTCCCCTCCCATGCCCCCAAGAGCCATAGACTGTCTAACAAAATGTCCAATTCCTGGCCTGAGAAACCTTTTGTGTTTATCAAGGGAGTCCAAAGAGTCCTACAACACTATAGGATATCATTGCCCTGGGTTGCCTCCCAGAGGTTGAAGGAAAGTCCTATTGTTGAAGACACCATGCACTTTCGACAAGACTTAGAGGATCCATGCTGGATCGAAGGAACTGGAAAATGCTATGAAAACTTCTAAGGGAGTGAAGCAGCCAATAGTCTGTCTGTTACGATCCCTATAAACCACCATAATGGCCAGATAGCATGGCATGATATCTATCCCTAAGAGTGGAATAGTACCGGAGCCAGCGTCATGAAACAAGAATGAAGTCTGACTTGGTTAAAGGATCTCCTTCACTGAAGAGAAGGAGGCTAATAAAAATTCAAAGACCGCCTATATCAGGTTTTGAGAAATGTCTAATGACCTGGATTGATGACCAGAAGCAGAACCAGGACCAGCTGAGGTAAACAGTTTGCTGGGAAAAGCCTTGTGACTGATCACCATGTTGAACTGGTTTCTCAGTTCAGGGAGGTCAAATGGTTCCAGGCATGCTGGTCACACATACCTGGAAGTGAAGCAGTGTGTGTGCACACTGTGCGAAGGCAGAGTAGGAATTTATGAAAACCCCAGATACCCTGCTTGCGGGGGAAGACAACTGTCAATACAGATGAAATCCTCCCAGTCTAGAAATGAACGCCTGGAAGGCCTGCCTTCCATTACAAAGCCAAGCTAGCTTCAGGTTTCAAGGCCTTTGTGATGGAAGTCTTTGCTTGTGAGGCAATGGTTCAGGCTACAGATTGAGACCTTGGATCTGGTGCAGTGAGGACACCCAGCCTTCCTGCATATCAATAATTACACGTGGCCAGAAACATGTGGATGCCCTATTAAAATGCTGTGCAAATAGAAAAGGGCTTCATGGAGAATGGCCTTTCTTCCCAGATTTTGTTTGCTGTGGGTCATGTTCCCATGTATTCTTTTAATCCCCATGTCAAAGTGGTGTTTCTAAAAAACCACTTTGAGCCAAGCAAAGGATCAAGAAATCATAGGAACTTTTAAGGCCTACTACCTGCTCTGCTGGGGCTGTTGCTGCAACTGAGCAAGACACTGATATAATTTTAGAAGAGTTATAACATCTCTGACCACATTAAGAACCTTGCATGGGCTTGGCATGATGTCACTAAGAAGTGTCTGACTGTCAGCTGGAAGAGAACACTCAGTTTGTCTGAGCAGAGATTTGCCATGGATGAGGTGGCTACAAAAATCAAGCAAGCTGTATCTGTGATGGCAAACTTCACGCCAGGCACAGGTAGGATGCTGTGGGAGAGGCAGGCTGAGGGAGGAAAGATTGATTCTGTCTCATGGTGTGAGGGGGAGACATCATCGCAATGAGGCAGGAATGGTGGCGGGAGCATGAGACCCTTGCTCATATCTCGGCAGACCAGGAAGCAGAGTTCAGGCTGTTTAATCCTCAAACCCGCCCTCTAGAGAGACACTTGCTCCAGTGAGTCTTCCCTTCTAAAGGCTTCCCAACCTCCCGAAACTGTGCCTGCCACCAGCTAGGGACCAAAAGCTCAAACATGTGAGCATGTAGGGGACATTTCACATCAGACCATAGCAAGTTCCTAGAGGTGGTCCCTGGGGTGACCAGTGAAGAGCTGTTAGACCTGGAACCTGGATGCAGCGCTACAGGAGAGCTGAAAGAGAAGAAAATGTAGAGTAGTGGTTCTCAGCCTGTGTGGGTCATGACCCCTTTTTTTGAGGGGGAGGTGAGTCAAATGATCCTTTCACAGGGGTGGAATATCATATATTTACAATTTATAGCAGTAGCAAAATTATAGTGATGGTTGGGGGCCACCACAACATGAGGAACTGTGTTAAAGAGTTAAAGCATTAGGAAGGTTCGGGAGAACCACTGATAGAGAGCAAGAAAAGAGGCCCCAAGCAAATTCATTATTGTCTTAACGAGAAACCTGGTACTAGGGAAATTCCTAGGAATCCACAAGGATGACCCCCAACTAAGAATTTAAGCAATAGTGGAGAGGCTATCTTAAATGCCCTTCACCTATGAGATTGATAACTACCTTAAATGCCATCATAGAGCCTTCATCCAGTAGCTGATGGAAGCAGAAGCAGAGATCCACAGCTAAGCACTGAGCCAAACTCCTGGAATCCAGGAGTTTGTAGAAAGCAAGCAGTGATGAGCAAAGGGGTCAGGACCATGCTGGGGAAACCCACAGAAACAGCTGACCGGAGCAAGTGGGAGCTCACAGACTCCAGACTGACAGCTGGGGAACCTGCAAAGACTGAATCAGGCCCCCTAAACATGGGTGTCAGTTGGGGGGGCTTGGGCAGTCCAGCAACACATCTTTACATAGTTAAACAAATACGGCACAAACAAAAGCAACACACCTTTCCATAATTAAACAAATGCAACACATCTTTACATAGTTAAACAATTATTCTGCAACACAAGCAAATGTAACACATCTTTATTTAGTTAACCAAATATTCTATCCCAAATCACTGTTCCAAAGAAATGAATAAACAAACGAGCACCACAGCCTAAGTGTGGGCTGTGCAATAAGTGCACAGTAATATCACAGACCTTCCCACTCTCTCACTGCTCACTCACTGGCTTATCCAGAGGGGCTCCTGTCCTGAAAGCTCCATGCAGGCTAACTGCTCCATACAAGTGCACCTCAGCATTTTGAAACCTATCATACTATATTCTACTGTGCCTTCTCTATGTTTAGATACACAAGTATTTACTATGCCTATGCAGATTTGTGGTTCAGGAGCAGTAGGCTATGCCACAAAGCCTCAGCATATAGGAGGCTCCCATCTGGGTTTATGCAAACACAGCCTGGGATACTCCCACGAGGATGAGGTCACCTAACAATGCACT